TCAAGGTTTTGGTCTCAGCGAAGCGCAGCGTCGATGCGGATGACGATGCGTCAAAATTTCGTAGGATGGTGCGGTTGCGACGACGCCCGAGACCCACGATTTGGCCCAAAGTTAAGTCTCGCGTCGCGCGGTGATTGTGTGTAGCACAAATGGCAGTACGGTATGGACTGTACTGTTTGCCGACAGGGCTTAGTCCCGTATTAACCGGAAAACGCGATGTTCAGGAAAAGCAGAGGAGAAGTGCGAAGAGTACATATGAGGTAGTGTAAGTGAAGAGCGATATATCACTGGAAGGTGCTGGATGCGTCTGGCCAAAATTAGGTAGAGCGTGAGGCTAAAGCATTAGTTTATGCAGGTTAGCGAGAGAGGCTTAAAGAGATTGCTGTTTCACTCTAGATTGCTAGGTAATGTTAGTTCCATGTAGCTCCTTAGTAGGTAAACTTAGTTTAGACGAAGCGAACATAAAAGGTTTCAATGCGTGTACAATCACACGTGTAGTGGAGATATTCATGTAAAAAATGCTTTAAAACTGAACACTACTAGTTTGATTATTCAACGGAGCGAGTACGCGCCACTTAAAGCGCACGATTGATAAGTCGGCAAAACCACTTGCCCAGACCAGAGGGCATACAGAAATATATATCTTATTTATTCATTAAACCAAAAGGGATTGTACGAGATATCTTATAGACGGACATAGTCGTTTTAGTTGTAATATGGATAAATTTATGCCCTAAATGCAGCGTTGCATATATAGAGTTGAGGGTTTATAAATAAATTGCACTTTGTGTGATTAGGCCTTGTCTGTAGTGCAAAATAAATTGATCAAATACGGCAACTTTTCGGGGGAGGGGGATGAGGGCGGAGGGGGTGGACTACGTACGCACAACATTTTCACGCAGTTAATGTTATAGAGCCAGTGGCTTGTGTAGAACCAGCCCGTACGTTGTCTTGCCAACGTGACGTCACACTTCGGTACTCTATATCGTCTAAGTAAGCGATCGCATATTTGTGCTGTAAACCCACAAGAACATGGTTCATAATTTTTTGATACTGAGCTGGGCTTCCTTTAGCTCCAAAAGGCATGACTCGAAAGTCGTACAGGCCTCGCGTTGTTACAAATGCTGACTTATGTTGGTCTCGCCTTGCTAATGGTATCTGATGGTAATCACTACGCATGTCCAAAGAACTTAGCTTTTCCAACATTTTGCATAACATCGTCGATTACTGGTAGAGGAAACGCATCGGATCTCGTAACTGAGTTTAAACGTCTGTAATCTATACACATTCTCCATTTGCCAGTCTTTTTCTTAACAAGAAGAACCCCTGAAATCCATTCCGACATTGATGGCCTAATTAATCCTGCCTTTAATATAGCTTTAACCTGGTTATCTACTTCTTTTTGCTGAGAAATTGACATACAGTACGGAGAAGTTTTGAACGCTGGATGGTTTCCCGTATTAATTTCCATTTCGTATTCTTTTGTTCGACCCAACTCGGCATCTGTATGCGCGAACGTTGATCTATGTGCCTTTAAGAATGTTAAGAGTCGTGCTCTGTGTTGCGGATTAGTTCCGTGCTTAACTAATGAATTGTAATCAAATTGTTTCTCCGTCTTATTCAGATCCTACTTTTACGTGTTAGCAGGTTTCATATTTCTATCTTCCTGTCGATGCAAGTGGTGATACCCCCCTAGCCTAATTGCATTAATTGCTTGACGCTGTGCTCCATCGCCCGTAGTGCCTAATGGAACCGTACATTCCCTTAGTGCGACATACTTTATACTACGCGTTGTCAGTGGCTCTATAATCGCTAAAGTTGCCTTACGCGGCAAGTGAACGCGTGAAGCTGATGCATTCTTAACTACGCAATGTATCGTTCCAGTCTTTGTCACCCGATACACAGCTGATACTACCTGCAGTCCTGGATAACGACAGCAGATCTTGAGTGCTGCCGATGGCTGGACTAGAACATTTGTTCCCACTAACAAATTCCCACTTACTCGACAGTCACAATGAATCGTCTCAAAAGGCTCGATCCACCTGTAGCGTTGCACCACTGCTACATTGAGTGGTGGTAACAATATGCACCTTGCTTCGCGACCAAATATAGGAATAATACTATTTCTTACCGACAGACATGCATTCTCAAAATCGACCCTTGCCCCTGTGTTGGTAACCTCTTGATAATATACATGGTACATTGAGACGTAACTCTGGTGGTGACCTCTCCTTTTTCCTTCTAACCGCTGTCCTGAGACCGATTGCAAGTTTGCTTTATCTGCACTACAGAAATTCGCAGTCTCTGTAACACGCTCCGGCAGTCCTTGCCAAACCGCTTCATCTAAAAGAGTACACTCAGATCCCGTATTTATTAGTGCCGTAAGTGTAATCCCGGATACTCGAATATCGCAGCATAGCATTGCGGTTAACGATCTATCAACCGTGGTTGATGGCACTCTTAACCGGCTTTGTCACTATGAACGTGATGATTGCGTATACGTCGGCATTCATAAGCGAAGTGACCCTGTGTTCTGTATGGGTTCATCGCGATTCGCCATGAGAACGTAACTGTGGAACGTTTTTACGAGGCATGTCTCTGCCTATCTTTGCCTTACGTCTAATCTCATTAGTGTCTGTAGTGGTATGCCTCCTGCGTATCGAAAGTTTTCGTTCCAAAACTGATCGTCTCACAGCTAAGTCGATCACGTCCTGTAATTTGCATACTTTATGTGACAATAATAGCTTCTGTATAGCTACGCTGTTCAGCCCGCCCAAAAATATGTCCGTAAGATGTTTTTGAATTAATTCCTGATTCAGTTGGTGTGGGGGAATCGCTATTTCTGCTAGACGGATTAGACAATCTGCATAAGTTCGTATTTCTTCCCGTTGATTTTGACGGAAACTGTTTAACTGTCTATCTGCTATTAACCCATGCAACGGGTCTCTAAACCGCGAGCATAAAGCTTCATAGAAACTCTTCCAAGAAATTTCGGGAGTCTCCGAGAGTAAACGGCGCGTAAAGTCAGCAGCAGGTCCGTGCAATGTGCTTATAGCAAAATTCATGAGATCGCTATCAGATAATTTTAATTGAATTTGAACCCATGATAAGGCTGCATGCCATTGTATAAAGGTGGGTCCTAATGTACGTTCCTGCAGTTGTTCCCCCGAAAATTTTGGCGTTTCTCGACGCAATTCCGAAACTCGTGCGCTATGAGCTAAACTGTTTACCACACTGTCAAGTGATGGCTTAACTCCTTCAATAAAAACACGTGCCATCGTTTCTATGGTTAAATCCGTCATGGCTAACGTAATAAAACTATAGGATGTTGAGGGTGGTGGAGGTAGAGTTATATAGGTAGGGAAAAGTGCTGTAATATTTCGCTAAGTAATACGCTCGTACCTTTAACTTCAATAACGTTCAATAAGATAATGAAATCTATCTATGCCGACACAAGAATTTGTTTCACTCACCCCTCTTTGTTAAAGCTGTGTTGAGCTTGAGCTTGAAAAGTTTGAAGCGCGTTCTCTTTGTCGCGGTCGTCAGCTGGCCGTTGTGACGCTTGCTAGCTCGCTTGCTTGCTGTTATTGATCGCCTTTGGTTGCTAGGCGACGTCTGTTGGTCGGATCAATACTTCACGGTGATGCGCTTGTCGCAGCTTGATATCGTATGCTAGCCATCTTTGCTGCCTCGCTTGCTCGATAGCCAGGTCGTACTTATGCGAATGTTCTGTCTTATATATATATGTGCGTTCTCTGTCGCATCATATCACTGTTCGTATGCATTTCCCTACGCAATGCCCGTATGGCGAAACTCTGCATAACGAATGTCACCATCACTGCGGAATCTGCCAAGCATCTCAATGTTGATTTCTTCTTTCTTCTGCTTCTTCTTCTTCTTCTTCTTCTTCTTCTTCTTCTTCTTCTTCTTCTTCTTCTTCTTCTTCTTTCTTTTTCTCTTGCGTTTTGTTTACTCAATGTTCGGCGCATGCATCATACACGGTAGATTCGCCTTCTTCCTCTTCATCTTCTCCCTCCTGCGTTGTTTTGCAACGGAATACTCAGTTCTTTTTGGTCAAACGGCACCAAATGTAGCCCTGGTAATCTGTAGTTACTTTATCTCATCGGTCGGTGATCGTAGCCATTCATGATCGAAGAGGTTGTGTAGATTATATATGATATAGACGTCTTTATTGGAATGCATATATGTTGCATCGTACATGAGCCGCCCCGTTCGCCCAATGCCACCATCCTTATAATCGCGGCCCGCGCTTGTTGTCTCGACCTCACGACTCGCTCCAGCTTCCGCCGCGGACTGGCCTTCCGCGCTCGTGCACGTCCCGCCGCTGCGTTTAGCCTGCTCGGCTTATGATTATGTCTTTTAATTATTACTGTCCTTATTAACCCCCCCCCCATGCTTGCGGTCGCTGAGCACACGACTGCGTGATCGGCCATCTCTTAGTAATGATATGTTTTGCGCTGTGCGTTGTCGCCAACGGGCCACCGCGCACCGTTTATTATCGCTTCTATGCTAGCCGGTTAATTAATACACGCGCGTTAATTACCGACGTTGATATCTCCGTGGCTTGTGGCGCTAGTAACAATTCTCGTGCCACAATACACGTAGCGTTGGTCGCGCCATAACATGATACGTGTAGATCTCTCTTACTCTCTCTTTCTCTCTCTCACTCTCTCGCTGTATCTTGATCTCTTTATCTCTATCTCGCTCTCTGTCTTTCTCTCTCTCCTCTCTCCTCTATCCTCTCTCTCTCTATATCGCTCTTCCTCTCTCGCCCTCTCTCTCTCTCTCTCTCTCTTTCTCTCTCTCTTCTCTCTCGCTCTCTCTCTTCTCTCATCTCTCTCTCTACTACACCATTACTATATATATAGATACATCTCTCTCTCTTGCTCTCAATCACTTTCTCTCTCTTGCTGTCACTCACTCTCACTCTCCTTCTATGATTAGACGTTATGAGTCTTAGAATGCGACTTGACTAACAGTCTATCATGGCATCGGCCGTGCAGGGCCAGGTTCAGCTGTCAGTACAAGCCAGGTTCTTCTCGGAGACGGCAGAGCGGGCGCACAGAAGAAAAACATACAGCAGCAGGTAAGCATTGCCAGCATCTCGTCGCCATGGGGACCGAGGACGATGTTACCAGGACAGGGTGATCGTTGGAAGGGTCTCTTATGTTTTTTTGATATTAGAAAAAATAATTATCTAAAATTCGCCGGAGTATGATGCATCTGCGTGATGGGTTATGGGCGTTACTGCGGATGTAGCATACCGCGCGCGCTTACGTAAATAACGTTTTCTATTGATGGTGCCTGTATGTAATTTTCCCGGACGCTGTGGTCCCGTACAGAATGTTTAAAAGCTAAATGCAGTACTGGCGAGGACAAGTTACAAATGCAAGGTCGGAGTGGACAGGCGACTAGCGGATTAGAATCGGGCTGAGACTTAAATCGCCTGCTGGAAATCGCTAGTCGTGCCTGATGTGCACGTAGCACGTTGCGTGCGTGCGTGCGTACGTGCTGCACGTACACCTGCGTGAGTTCATGCGTTGCAGTGGTGTGTATGTAAACGTGCGTGATTGCGTGCGTGTGCTGCGTTCGTGTGTGCTGTTGTGCACGATAATACGTGTTGTGCGTGTGCGGCACGTCGTGGTCTGCTGCATGTGTGCGTGCCATGTTTGTGCGTGTGCACGTACCACGTGCGCGGACGTGCGTGCTGTACGTAAGTGCGTTTCGGTGCCGTGCAGTGCGGGGAGTTACACGTGCGATACATGCGGTTGCGTGCGTGCGTGGCGTGCGTGTGCTGCGTGTGTGTGACTGTACAGCGTGAAGCTGCGTGCGGGTCCGCTCGTAGTGTGTTGTGCACGCTATTACGTGCGTGCGTGCGTACAACGTGCGGCCGTACACGTGGTTGAATGGTGCGTTGTTGCACGTTACACGTGCCGCGCGTGCTGTGCGTGTGCAAGGGTAAACGTTGCGTGCGTGCGGTGCGTGTGTACGTTACACCGTGCGTTCGGTGCGTTGCGTGCGTCGCGCGTTGCGTGCGGGGGGTTTTTGGGTGTGGGTGTGCAGCTTACACGGGTGGTAACCATTGGTGCGTGCGTGCGTGCCGTGAGCACGGTCACACGTTGCGGGACGGCGTTGGCGTGCATGTAGCGGTGCGTGCTGTGACGTCACGTGCGTGCTGCGTGGCTGTGGATGTGAGTGCGGTGCGTGTCACGTACGCGTGCGTGCCGTGCGTGCGTGTGGTGTGTGCAGTACACGTGGAGGGGTGCGGTGCGTTGTGCCGTACACGTCGCGTGCGAGCGCAGCGCGTGGTATGCCATATACGGCGGTGCGTGGGTGGTGCACGTCTCACCTGGCGTGCATGCGGGTGCGGTGCATTACGTGCTCTGCGCGTGCGTGCGTAGATACGACACGTGCGTGCGTGCTGCGATGAGTGTGCGCGCGTGTGCAGGTACACGTTCGTGGTGCACATGAGTGCGTGTGCGCTGTGATGCACGTCACCACGTGCGTGGTGTACGGTACACGTGCGTGCGTGCGTGCGTGTGCAGTACGACGTGCGTGCCGGTGCGTGCGTGGGTGTGAACCTTACAAACGTGCGTGCCTATGTCGCGGTGCGTGCGTGGCTCGCGTGGCTGTGTGACGTACACGTGTGTGCGTGTGTGCCTGCTGCGTGCAGGTACACGTTCGTGCGCGTGTGCGATGCGGTGCGTGTGTGCGTTGGTGCAGGTAACGTGTGATGTGTGCTGGTGTCTTGTGCTGCAGAAGCTTGTTCATGTGGCGGTGGTGTCCGTGCGTGTGTGTGCTAGGTTACATTGCGTGCCGCTGCGTGATATGTGGCCACGTTAAGCTGTCGGTGATGCGACCCGTGGTGCGTGTTGCACTACAACAGTCGCAGTGCATAGAGCTGTCGGCGTGGCGTGCGGTGCGGTGCATCGGCTGATTACATGACATGCATATAAAAGATGGAAACATCGATATTAGATCAGTATTCATTGAACAACTCTGATGGGGACTGGATGAATTGTACAATTCGGCGATTTTATGCGCTTGGCCCCGGACACACTTAGGCGATTTCGTCGCCACTGGAAAATAGTCGCGCCGATGAATATCAAAACGTTTTCAGGTCGCTTGCGATGTGAATCGACGATAAATCGGCGGCAAGGTTGGTGGAGCACACTATTGATTTCACCGGGCGATTTCACCGGGCGATTTAGTCACCGATTGTTAATCGCTGGTGGTGTGCCCGGGCCTTAAGGTATAGTGAGGAAAGTACAGGAATTGCGGCAGCAGATCTAAACGGCTCGACCTAGGCTCGCCGATAGTCCGGTGATATCACATCATGCAGTAGGAAAAACAGCATCACTGTGCCCTGAATTTGCCGAGGTTAAGGTCAAAGGTCAGTGGGGGCACAGGACAGATTTTAGACATTTTCTGAGGACATGGTCTGACGGAGCGATTGAAAAACTTTTTTGTTTCAGCGGTGACCTACCATTTTTATGGCTTTATTGAAAGGACCATGAAATGTACTTTTCCCTGACATGCGAAGAGTAACTGTTGGGTAACCTTTTTGACCCTCAAGAGGAGGGTTAAACATTGATTTGTTGACTGTTAACAAAGGACTGAACTGCTTTTGCTGTTATTAGAGCTTATACCTGTGTGAATGTGAGGATACAGTTGCACAGTTTAATTGCAAAGGCAAATGTTTGTTGAACAAGGTTTACGCTCCTTAAATCATATTATTTTCTAAAGCAGTCTGTCTATAACACCCTGAAGGCTGAATCAGTGAATGCTCGTGTGGGTAGGCAAAAACACAGGGCAGCCCATGGCTGGCACGCTTCTAATCATAATTGTTGCCTGCCAGCCTGCAATGCAAATGTGTCTGCAATGCATAGAGATTAGGTGGGTGCGAAAGTGTAGCTGATATATTTGTTCCAATTGGCTACGAAAGTTAAACAAGAATAGAGAAGACTTATGTATAAGACGTCTTGCTATGCACAAATGAATTCATCAGCAGAACACCAGACACCAGATGAGCCCTGTCGCACTGCGGCACTTGTTAAAGTGATTACGTCACCGTAAATAGTAAAAATAAATATAAGTAATTCTGTTCACTTTTTATGGTTTAATTGCTGCATTATACTTTCTGTTTATCTATATTGTTCGATGTGAACATACACTCGTGACTCATACATAGCCCATAGCAAGCAATTAATATCAGGAACATAATATCAAATCGTCCAGGTTTTTTGGATTTTTAACTACTTTATATCGTTATAGTTATTATGTCTAGAAACAATCTTATCAGGTAAGAATTTGACGATACGTTTAGTCCCCGTTAGTTCTTACAATTAATGTAAAAAAATGGCAACAAAATTTTTACACATTTTACCATAGAAAATTCGGAATGCAGTAAATTTAAACGCACCTTTTGATTATTTGATGATGTAAACACAGTATTGTGATAATGATCGGAGGGAGCAGGACTTCCAAATAAGAATTACTGGGAGGGAGAAGGATGGAGACTACTGCCAGCTGGCTTACTTTGTTCATTGATTGGATTTGGGTGTCTCCGATGATAAGGCCAACATCAATGTAAAGTTTGTTGCCATTTAAGATGGATCTTCACTTTGTACAACTCTGTAGTAACTGAGGTCAATGTGAACTGCTCTTGAAATAGCATATACTTGAAGTGAAAAGGACGCAGAGGGGTCGGCGCTGATTGTAGAAACACACATTTCATAATATAATATACGTGTAGTTCAAACTGTCTAATTCGATAATGGTACGTTACACGTATCAAAGATGACCCATCCAATGCATTGGCAGCTGACTGCATATTTATACCACAAATTTTAGTTATGGTTGATTCTTGTGCAAAATTATATAAGAGCGAATTTTCTTTTCATATCGCGAGTAAAGTGGTCATAATTTATAAATTACGTATGTGCGATATTGCATAACCTGACATGGGCTTACATAATGCTGGGTATTACTGTACTCCTCTTTAAGAATTATAATAAGCCTCTTAAAAAATGTTTACATCTGGCATGTGTTTTGTATGATTATATCGATCGCGTATTATTTCTCGCGCGGTTTTATTGCTGCGATGCTCCGAACAATTGTGTCTTTCTCTGTTTCAGCATTCAGTATCGACGGGAGCCCTGCTTGGGAGTTCACTCGAACGATCTGCGACCAGGTATACCAGCCTTGCCATAGACTCGCATTAGTCTAATGTGATTCGTCCACGCCTATTGCTCTAACACAATGTAACCAGCGTAATTTTTTAAGTCCGTGCACTGCCGGTGAATTTACCGGAAGTGCCGGGGTAAAGTGCCCGGGGTGCCGGTTGTACACGCATCACGCTCGAATGAACAGGTGGCCGGTAGGGAGGATGCCGCAGTGTGCATGCGTCTGCAGTGGTGAGAGATGTGCATGCCATGACCTTTATTCACCAGTAGGTGGCAGCAGCATCAACAGCGTGACTTGGGCTTGCCGTAGAGGAGCCGTGTGGCGCGTGCGTTTGCGCGTGCTCACTCGCTCGCTGGATGACTGACGAATGGCAGAGCATGGCACTGAGTAACACTTGAACAAACGCAGCGCGATGCCCTCGCCCGTGCGGCAGGGGGCGCCTGTGTCTGTTCACTTTCTACTCGCAATAACAGTTGGTAGTTGAGTAAGTATGGCCGCACAGGTGGCATGAGGGTGGCAGCCTTACGCGGGTATTTTTTTCGCAAGAACTCTTGGGAGTTTTCCCAATTTTTCATTTCGATTCAAATTCGAGTCAGTGTGGAAAGGAATGTGCGAGGATCTAGAGTAAATGGAGTTGAAATGAAATGAAAATGAAGATGATAACTAACATTAGATCCGAATGCAAGTGGTAGGTGCAAGCAAAGCAAAGCCAAACTGAAATTAAAATGCTGGATGAAATTTTAAGTTCTGCCTAGAACTCGTGTAGGATGACCAGTCTCATCATCTGTGTTGCCATACATGTACGTTATGCTCGCGTAGTGTTCACTCATTCACTCGTAAGAGAGTTTGACAGTGCCTGCAATAAGATTAGACCGTGTACATCGTTAGTTTGAAAGTAGCTTCGTTTACGCAGAACCGTTTTTTGTCGTCTTATCTGATCATTCCTCTCACTGTCATGTGCTTAGGGTCCGGTGACAATGACACCGCACCGATGGCCTAGAGCTAGCAAGACCCTCAGTAGCATTATGTCCGCTTGTTTGACAGTGTCACAACCTATGTTTGTGTGGTGAGCAGTGTGGTGCTGCTGCTGCTGCTACTACTACAGCTGCTGCTGCTACTACTACGGCTGCTGCTGCTGCTGCTGCTGCTGCTGCTGCTGCTGCTGCTACTGCTGCTAACTACATAAACAACGTTGAACACTGCGTAACAGGGAGTCGGATGACTGTGTTTCTCACTTGTAGTTTGACGCCGTGTGTGTGTGTGTGTTTTCACAGTCTTACTAGGTCCTGCTCGGTGTCATATGGGTACCTGCGGTGGCAAAGGGTTGCCTCTAAGTTTGGCCTTAAGTAAGTGGTACGCTAGTCACACACGCAGCCCTTTCCTGCGAGAGCAATTCCCTATGCCGCACCGTTGCACGTACTCGTGGTGTCCAGACAGTCATAGCAGCACCGGCTAGGCTAGAGTTGCGATCTCATCTCCAACCCTTTCTCTCGGCACGTGGTCGCGTAGAGTAGTCGCAGCCGCTGCACGGGGAGGCCATGATAAAAATATTGTTTGTTTGCCCTAAACCGACCGACCCGCCAAAAAGGGGCCGACGCAAACAATTTTATTGATCTTTTCCATTCTTTTTTTTTTACAAATTGTATCGCTGTTCATTATATAAATCTGTAGGCAATACATTATATGTACCAAGCAAAACAAACATTCAACATAAAATGTATCTCCACACAAGCACACCCGAGCATGTAGACACCATGCTGAATTTGTAAAAAAACCTCCCTCAAAAAAAGCCTACCTGCCTACCCAAACTTTTCAGCCTGGGTCGGGTGAGGGCAAACAAAGATTTTTTTCATTGTGGCCTGAAGGAGTGCCGCTCGCTGAAATGCAGACGCGTCCGCTCCCGAGAGAATCGATTGGAGAAGTGTCGGCAATCCACTGTTACGTCTTCCTCCACGTTTTGCTCTCTTCCTCTTCCTTGCTCGTTCTCGCCTCCTCTCTCGTTTGCACTTTCACTCTCTCATTCTGACGCTCTTGAGAGAAAGAGAGAGAGTGAGAGAATAAGCGAAAGAGGGAGAGAGAAAGAGAGCAAGAGGAGAGTGAGAAAGAAAGCGAGTGTGAGAGAGAAAGAGTGAGAGACGGAGAGATGGAGAGAGAGGGAGCGAGAGAGAGATGGAGAGAAGGAGATCTAGAGAGAGAGAGAGAGAGAGAGAGAGAGAGAGAGAGAGAGAGAGAGAGATGATAGGCACTACTACGAGGGACGTGACAGATGGACATGCCTGTCGTGCATGATGCTAGGAGAACCAACCGTACACTCGCTGTCATTGGTGGTGGTGCTTCGTTGTTGTACAGCGGCGACGGCAGTAGCCGACATCGGCTTTTCGCTGCCCCCTTCCTCCTCCTCTCCTCACTATTTCTGTTGTCACACTGATTACGGTGGCTGCCACCCTTTCTCACTTCCGTCAGAGAGCACCGGCGAACTAAAACTCTGTACTATGTGTATCCTGCATGCGTCACTACGGGTGACGACACATTCTTTTCAGGTTGTTACCGTAGTTATCGTTTGTTACCATGGAGTCACTCCGGGCTCTGCCTCCTTGCTCCATTCTCCTGTGCTTTACTCGACTCGCCATGACACCATCGCTATGGCCGCCTCGTACGCAGGCACGAAATGAAGGCTAATCTGTTATAATAAGAACAATAAGCAATCTTATAATCTAGATCGTCGAGTATCATGAGAGACTTTAGGTCACTTGTCTAGGGCTCAAAATAACGTGGATTTGTATTGCAATTTAGGGCTAGCGGGGACCAAACATACCTGTGCACATCTATTAAATGCAACCCAGGAAAACTGTAATGAATCCTATTGTGGGATTCTTATGGCCTATGATCGTATAGTGAAGATAGGTTCGTGACTTTTGGCGCGTGTAAGAAGTTACCATTAGATAGCTTGCTTAATAGAGAAGACACTGATTATAGAAGAAGAAACAAGATGTTACGTACAAACAACTGGTGATTTAATATTGTAACTAAAGAACGTACAAGTTACACACGTACAAATTACACAGTCGCCTCTTATCGCAGGGACAAATAAATAAATACATGGTTGTCTATCAACTCAGTCAAGGTACGGCATGCAATGCAAATCAAAGAGTGACAAAGTGGTTTACACACAAGTCAACAACAGTACAGTAATCAAGCAAACAAAGTAGTTTAAACACAAATCGCAAGCAAGAAAATATTCCAAAACATACTCACATACCTAGCTGAGGCGACCGTGTAATTTGTACGCGTGTAACTTGTACGTTCTTTAGTTACAATATTAAATCACCAGTTGTTTGTACGTAACCTCTTGTTTCTTAGTCTATAATCAGTGTCTTCGCTATTAAGCACGCTATCTAATGGTAACTTCTTACACGTGCCAAAAGTCACAAACCTATCTTCACTATACGATCACAGGCTGTAAGAATCCCACAATAGGATTCATTACACTGGTGCCATGACCAGGATTCGAACCTGGGTTACTGCAGGACAATTGGGTTACAAAACTAAATCGCCTTTTATACCAGTGGCAGCACTTCCTACCCCCTCCCTTCTAACCCCAACTTGTTCCGCCTTGCTCCCAAGTTTTGAATCTGTGATGAGTTTATCTGAATGATGCTTGGTGTATATAGAGGCTTGAGCAAACTGTGACTATTTCTTTCGTAGGCTTGTTCATTTAGGTGTAATATCATGCAAGAAGACGTGTTACATGCTCGTTGCTGTCCCCCTAGCCCTTCTATGGATGTAGTAAACCCATTGACGTGATTAATGGCTCACAGTTGAATGCTGTATATATATCACATCCCTCCTCAGTACTCGGTCAAAAGTATCACTCGCAAGCTCTCGCAAACACTCGCGTAAATTGTCGTCGTTCTCTCACAAGTGTTATACTTGTGAGCGTATTAGTTGTTATCGCTAACCTCACAACTCAGTGGCATCGCCTAATTATAAGCTAATCTAATCTACATGTGGTAGTGCAGTGACTATGTGCCCTGTGGACCTGGTCTGTCTCACGTACGTAATGAATGATCAATGTCACGATTGGTCACAGCACCTCTAGGTTTTGCGTCGGACTTAAAAATAGCGAAGCGCGTTAGCGAGGGCTTCACTTTTCGAGTAAGATGGAATGAGCTGATGCTTCTGACTTCCCGTCCTCGTCTCTAGTTATTACTCGAGAACAACGCCTGTTCTCTCGCCCTCCCGGATGCATGCTACTACATAAGTTAGAGATTACGAGCGATTGCGATGGGAGCACGGCAATGTCTCTCGCCCCTTCCGCGAGCATGCCGGCGGTACGATGCATGAAGCGTAGACACTGCATGTGGGGATCTTGCACACACACGTCGCACCACCTCGTAGTTCTGTGTGTGTCGCGCGCGTGCGATCGCGACGATTGCAAACGCTTATGGCTTCACCTCTCGTTGCCGTTTCGAGAAGCAGCCGCGCCCGGCACTCGTAGCCGACGCGTAGTCTCGCATCGCGGTCGCGACACCTGCACTAGTGACTAGTACCGCTGCCATCGCCGTAGCTGCTGCCTAGCGCGCTGTGCGACTTTGCATCTGCGAGCGCTATCATCTAAGCTCACGCATTCTCTCTTGCCTTGCAGCAGGAGCGCTGGAGAGTCGGCCGCTGCCAGGTCTCTCGCAAGCTCAACGTGAGTTGGAGTCGTCACTCCCAATTGTTTGTGCTGCGACGGCGGCGGCACGCGGGACAACCCCGCGCAGCATTGTTCGATGTCCCGCGCTGAATCGATCTTCGCGCACTGAACCATGCCGAGGTTCCAGGCCGCGAACTTCCGTTGCTTGCGTCACGCCTGCCTTGTCACCTCGTCAATCCATAGTTCTCGTGTGCACCGCGTTTCTTGTATGTGTGAGTGTGCGTGCGTGCGTGCAATTGTGGTGCTCTTCACCTTGATCCAATGTGCGCGGTGTCTTGTACTTTTTCACACTTAGTGTGTATTATATCGTCTAACTCCCTCTGTGTGACAGCTCGCACCCACTAACCCATGATGTTCTATGTCAATGACCCACCCTGTGTGCCATCTTCCTGTGTGGCCCTGTGACCCACTCTGCCCTGTGTCTCGCACCTTCTAACCCATCCTACACGGTGCCTAACACCCTCTAACTGATCACAGATGTCTCACACCCTCTAGCCCATCCTACATGATGTCTCACCCTCTAACCCATCCTACATGATGTCTCACCCTCTAACCCATCCTACATGATGTCTCACCCT